TGCCTGTCACCCCTCAGCATTTCTGCCGAGGCCCTCGCTCCTCCTGAACGGGAGGGGGGGAGGGTGTACTGTAGGAGTTCAGCTTTTCTCTCCAAAGCTCCAGATTTCATGACGGTGCCAAGCAGCCACACCTGGAGATCATCCTCCTTGATGAGAGGCAGGAGTATAAAGGGTGACTGGTGACATCAGTTCAATGCTGTTGCATTACACGCCTTCCGTTGTGCTCCTGTGCTCCCTCGACCTCCTTGTGGAACCATCTTCCCTTGTGGACTCCTCAACCGACCTCCTCGTCTACCTTGGACCTCTCTGTGAAACTTCTCGTCCTCTTGTGTCTCCCTGGATTACCTCAGCTGTTCTTTCGGCCTTCCTACCACTGCCCAACACTACTGGACTCCCTGTGGACATACCTTGTTAATCTGGGACCATTGGATCCTCGTTCACCCAGCTTTCTACTACTCTCACAGTAAGAGCTAAGAAATTACCATCTATTATCATAAAACCAGATTGAGTTTACTCACCATCTGCCCTGGTTCTCCAGGTTTCCAGCTCCCTCCAACGGCAGTTTCATTGCACTGTAAATAAACACTGTTGTTTTTCATCCTGAGTCTTGGTATTGACCTAAAGAAAAAGCTCACAAATTAAATTTAATAATTAATAAAGTGCATTTTTACCTATATCCGGATGCATGCTCAATAATCCAGGTAGAAAAATCTAAAAAAGTTCAATCTGGTCCTCTGGACATTCAAAATAATAAAAACAAAGCAAAACAACAAAAAAATGTAGAAATGTTTCGTCTCTCATCCAAGAGACTTCTTCAGTCTGAGGTGCTGTTTTCAGCTCAGTCTCTTAAATAGCACCTTCTCAGAGTGGATCAACCAGTTTTGCTGCTGACAACCAAAACCAGCTGATCACATGCTCAAGAAGGACCATCAGCCTAACAATGGATCATTAGCACACTAGCCAACAGTGTGCTAATGTCCAGCAATCACTGTGCGAGGTGCGGGGTACACCCTGGACAGGTCTCAAGTCCATCACAGGGCCACATAGAGACAAACGAGACAAACAACTATTCACTCTCTCACTCACATCTAGGGACAAATTAGAGTTACCAATCAGCCTAACATGTATGTTTTTGGTCGGTGGGAGGAAACCGGAGCACCCGGAGAAAACCCACGCATGCACAGAGAGAACATGAAAACTTCACCCAGAAAGGTCCCTTGACCGGGGTTAGAACCAAGGACCTGCTCGCTGAGAGGCAGCAGCTCTACCAGTTGCGCCACCGTGCTGCCTGAGAATTTACCAAAGCAGAATAAATTAGCCATTTAATATTTTTCAGAATCAGTTTATTATTGCCATGTCAATGAACGAGGTTCACAAACTAGGAATTTGCTTCGACATAAGGTGCGAATAGTAATAAAGTAAAATAAAGTAAAAATAAAGTAAAAATGAAGTAAAAATGAGAACATTACATAAGACATAAGACCTGTGTACACCCACAAATAAAGTAAAATTAAAAACATAACATAACCATATGTATACCCATACAATAGAAAACAATTAAAAAAAGCTTAGAAAACAGTACAGATGGAGTATTCAATTATAATACAGAGGTAATGTGACCAAAGCAGAAGTTATGGGGTAGCATTATGAGTGTTCAGGAGTCCAACAGCAGAGGGGAAGAAACTGTTCTTATGGCGGGAGGTTCTGGTCCGAATGGACTGAAGCCTCCTGCCTGAGGGTAGTGGTTCAAACAGTCCAATTTTATTAAGGTTATTAAAGTTCAACAGTAACTTGAAAGAAGGTCCACGCTTCTGTTGTGATTGGCTCGACCATCAATATTGTAACGCCCTCGAAGTCAAAGAAATTTATTTTCTGACATTTGGCTTAGAGCAGTAAGGAAGAAGCTACTGAAGAAGTAAGATCAAACAATTGGATATTTATTGCCAGAAGATCTTTGCCACCAGAAGGAGAAAACACAGCCCTCCGGGAGCTCATCAACTGACCCCCCTCGGGAGCCAACTTTCGACTCTAGATTTCAGCTGATTTCCAGTGGCAAGGGAAATCCCACCTTGGACGCTATAATTCATCTCAAAAGTCCGGAAAACCCTCCAGGCGGTTGAATTGCAGACCACCTTCCAATCGGTAGGAAAAAGCTGCTCAGTTTTTCTGCTGGGCCCCAGATAAGAAGTTGTCCAGTATAAAAATTTCATCATTATTAATTAGAATTAAGTTTTCCTAAATTGACAAATCACATCTAGCCAAAACACTTCATTTAGCTAACTTTATAGATGATAATTTACTCTGCTTTGTAACCTCATAATTCACCATATTAAAGTTAAAAAGATAACTCCATAACCTCTTGTTGTAGTAAAAGTAAAGCCATCATTTCATTCTGCAGCTGTATTCACCGTTTGATCACTTATATTCACCAAAATTGATAATAAATCTCACAAAAATTGTACTTTGACTCAAAGCGTTTTTATTATATATGACATTTTTTTTAAATACGAAAATAATTCAGTAGAGCGTTAAACTTGAGTCTGATTGAATAAATTAATAATTTCTGGCTTCAGAACCGGAAGCCAGTGGTGCCCCTTCAAAATAAAATTACTCATAAAAATTAATCGATCCGAGGACAGTTAATCCTACAATAGTATTATTTTCTTTGTTCAGGATAAAACAGATAAAACAAAGTTTGCTTTCCCAAAATACTTTTATTTGCAGTTATTTTATTTCCCAACAGAAAGAAAATGATGCCTTTACAGCCCATGTTACAGAAGAGGGCACTTTTAATAAGAAAAAGACAAGCCCCATAAAAGAGTAGATTTAAAGTTTATATATATCATTGAGGGAAAAAAAAACTGTGAATGAAACAAGAAATAGCAAAGAAAATTAAAGCAAAATCAGTATTTTTCCTGTGGTCAGTTGCATCAGTGGTTTCAGGCAGCAAAAGTGCATGGGCACAAAAAGCCAACTTTGTAGTTCAAACAGCGTCCATTCGTCTGGTCCGCATTGCGGCAAACAAATCCTTGAGTTGCACTGAAGCTGAAAAAACAAACATTAGATAACGAGTCAGCAATCCAATTTATATTTTTAATGTTACAAATTTAAAATAATACTACTGATGCTACTAACAATCTTTTCTTTTTTTTTAAGTTTATCTTATGATAAAGCTCAAGGAATTTTAATTTAATAGTGTAACTCTTGGAAAATCATAAAATTTCTGTAAACAACAGTTAATATTGGAAAAAAAAAACATCTTTAAGTGACTGTGTAAGAAGAGATTTAAGACATCAGTGCATCATT